GCCCACAAGGGGCGGGGTTTGGGCGATAATTCAAATTTCCTGTCCCCATGAACCTAGAAGGTTCAAACGTAGTAGGAGTACAGGCGCCATGATGGGAAAACTTATGGTGGGTGGTAGAACCAGACTCCGCCTACAAGGGGCGGGGTTTGGGCGAAAATTCATAAGTCCGATAAAGGTCTACAATGAAATCAGCTCATGCGGATCCGTCTCTCACGGCTAGAGCCCCTAGCGCGCGCGAGAGCGTGCGTAGCCGCCTGGTTTTACAAAACGAGCTATATACTTTGAGTGATGTTCGCTTTGATATTTAGTTTACGCCATAGCCTGCATCACGCTGAAGTTCACGTAGATTTGAAACTTACCGTAACGCTAGGGCCTGGAGGACATAGAAGCTCCATTGCAGAAGTAATGCTGAGCTGCGTAGCACTTCCAGTCACTTCACTTTTGGGAATCACAGCATCCTGTAATGTGAACATCGATCGATTCTACGGAATATGAAATCGAATTATAAAAAGAAACGCAGATATTTAAAGACAATCCAAAGGCGAACATGGGTTGCTTGAACTTGAAAAAGCAAAGGATACGTCATAAAGAGATGAGGATTCAGCCGACACCATGAAGTTTTTGGAAATGCGGTTCATGTTACACCCCTCCGCCCCTTTCTCTGAAGCCAGGAGCCCGAAGGTAGAAACTCTGTACCCACGTCAACGCCTTTCATGATGGTCTCCCTTCTGCTAAATGGCAAATAAGCGTTAGTGATACCTATTTCTTATCTCGTGTGCGCTTACGACTACGTAATCCTTACCTCCTCTTTCACATCGGCGGCTGGTGGTGGCGGAGACTTCACCTTCGCCTCTGACTGATGCAGAAGTGACTGACATTCCGGAAACGCTTCTTCGACTTCTTCTGATGGAGTGTCACTGTTCGCGAATCGACTATCGAACCTTAGATCGATCTCTTCCGATGATACCGCTGCTTGATTCTGGGACTTAGCTCCATCTACAGAGGTCGTTGGTGTCGTGGAGTTCTGAAAAAAGCACGGCATGGGGATAATTGAATGGATATATCACTCCAAAGACAAGTGAACAGCCCATCTTCAGCGTGAGCGACGATGTAATAGGCGGAGACTAGGCTGAGGTAAACGGTGAGGGTGAAATGAAAGTTGACTGGGAAGGGGGAATAACATGTACGTCAAATGAGTAGGATTCAAAGACCAAAGATACCACAAAAATAGTAGTTGGACTATTTTCATAAATGCTCCACCTCAAAGGCAGAAAGTACGTTTATCAGTCCTGGAGCTAGGGACCATTTAGCCATTTCACATCACAGCAACTTTGTTAAATTTGTCCCCCTCCCGCAGCTGAATACACGATGGAAGCATGCAGACTTGTTCGAAGAGAGGAACCTTTTCCTCTTTGAAACTACATCCAGCAGTTTCCGGTCAACTCACTCTGTTAAGGCCAGGAAGATAATGGTCTCGAACATCTTGTTTACGAGTGAGCGGTTTTATCTCTTCGCCACATTTTCATTAAGCTGGTGGAACTGGAAGCTGTAAGGACGGACCGTCATCACCGTGACACTAGCTCTGACATTTTGTCAGCACCCGGTGGAACGGCCTTCGTTACTGGGCGTACATCTTTCCTGTGTCCAGTGTTCACTTTTTTGTTTCGTGGCTTTCTATTAAAATGTAAGGACAAGACGAAAACTGCGAACAAATGAACGGAAGAAAGGAGGAAATCATTTTATCCAGAGGAAATAACACATAATGACTTCTGACAAAATGCAAAAAGTAATGTATGGCCAGTCATGTCGGCACTCTCTAAAATATTGTCATGTAGGGTGGACTAGTTTTAACGCTGTCACACCAGAGCGCTTTTTGACCTACAATCCTTAAACATGAGGCCGTTGCTCAAAATTCAGGCAGCAGTATACTAGACGGTGAGGATGAGAAAGGTCCATCATTTCGTTAAACGCTTCGCAGATTCAGAAAGCGGAGATAAAATCGGGGGTCTAAGAAGGCATACGAAAGCACTCATATCGAGGAATATGCAGGAAGATCGGTTACTGCTGCCATGACACCGAAACGTCGCCACATTGGCGGCGATCGCCTAGCAGTGTCGAGCAAGGGGTTTGGGAGGCTGTACCCGATTCTTCACGATACCCATCAAAGATGCTGCGACAAACTACCGTAATCACCGTCTTGAAGTTCAACCTTATCCTCTACCGTGGGCAGAGCGCTTAAGCAGGAGGGATGGGTGCAGTTTGTGATGAAGATCCCAAAGGGTTTAAAGGTGCAGCGATTGACGGCGCTCGATCAACCAAGCCCTGCAACCAAGTTTTGGTAGAGGCAGATGTACCGGCCTACACCTGACAACTACATAGTATCCATTTAGTACGTATGATCATAACCGTCATACCATTATGGTGTAACACAATCCCCGAGTTCATATTCACTTCCCATTACCTAACGATGATAACCAGAATTCCATCACGCTGTGAAACCTAGTTTCTTGTAATATATTACTGCGACTTGCTCAGTGATAACAATTTTTTTTTGAAGTCTTGAAAAGCCTCACTTACTGTTTGGGAGTGTTCTAGGCCGCTCTGTGTCTGCCTCGACATGCATTCACATTGTGGGCAGAGATCTTCAATTCGTTCTGCCACACTCACAGCCGTGTGACCATGTGAAAACTGAAATAGGAACTATTGATAAAAAGGAATTTATCTATTCCATACACGAGACCTCTGCAAATGGAAGAAACACCGCTACAATCCAGCCAACATTTCAGAGAATAGAAGATAGCAGTGAAGCCGAAATACGAATTGATTTGCTGTTCTCACCGCATTTAATTCGCTACCCTAGAGATGGTGTAGGGGCAATGGCGCGAACGCGTTTATTTAGTGGAAGGTTCTGCAGTTTGAACATTTTTTCCCGCGCGTGGGCATATGAATGCAATTCATTGGGGCGCGCCAGTATTGCGCTGCTCATCAGCTGAAATCCTCCTGCTACTTCTGGATGTGACCATTCTCACTAGTTGCTCTTCTGTTCTTACTACAATCGAGGATTGTATGCCATATCCTATTCTCGCCACTTGCTGCCAACTTTTTGAATTTCCTGCTTTTTGGATCTGCAGATCTGTAGCATTGCAAAAGATACTGCTGTAGGTAAGTGGAATCTTATCTAAGTTTTCCTCTTGAGCTTTACACCTGTCGTCATGAGCATAT